CTCTGTGGCTTAGGCACTGTTAGTGATTCTTAGCTGAGGTTATTGACCCTCTTTCCCTGGGCTCCACTGGTGACTCTCCTTTGTTAATGAGGTTGAGTGGTCTCTGGGCCTACTGCATGGTGGTGGTGGCTACTGCTGTGGTGGTAAGACATTCTTGTGGCGGAAGTGGCTTTGGTAGTGGTTGTGGTGTACCACCTGTGTGGTAGCGGTGTCTGCATCAGTGGCCAGGGCTACCCACAGCTGCTGAAGTCCCCAGGTATACTTCCTGGTGATAAACTTCTAATAAACTTTTTTAAAAATGATATTTTTTTCTTAGGAAAGTCCTGGGAAGGAGGCCTAAATCGATTCTACCATTTTCAGAGAGGTTTCTATAATAGAGAAGGAATGAGAAAGACAAGTGTTCAGCCAGTATAGCACATTTTGTATTAATTATACTTGTGCTGAGTTTCCAAACTACTGGTGTTATTCATTTAACAGATGTGCATTGATTCCCTACAATATGCCAAGCATTCTTCTAGGCACAGGAGATGTATCAGTGAACTGAACAAGATCCCTGCCCAGGAGGTGCTTACATCGTAGCAGGGGGAGACAATAAACATTAAATATGCAAATTCTTCTAGGCACAGGAGATGTATCAGTGAACTGAACAAGATCCCTGCCCAGGAGGTGCTTATATCGTAGCAGGGGGAGACAATAAACATTAAATATGCAAATTATATAGTACATTAGAATTTGATGAATATTATGGAAAAATTAAAACTTAAAATTTAGAAATGAGATTTTCACAAAGACTTGAAGGATGTGAGAGAGCGATCTAAGGAAATAATTTGGTGAAGATAATTTCTGGCAAAGGTAGAGCTATAGCAAAGATCGTAAGGTGGGAGCATATGGCATGGTTTAGGAGAACAGCAAGGAGGCAATGGTGGTTGGAATATACTTAAGGAGGGTGAGAATAGACCTCTGTGATGTCAGAGAGTTAAGAGCAGGGATTGGGAGAATAGACTGTGAATGGCTTCCTAAGCCATTGTTAGGACTTTGGCTCTTTCTTTGAATGAATAAGGAGTCAATAAGTTAAGGCAGTTGTTCAGAGGAATGATCTTATCTGTACTGGGTTTTAATTAGATCACTCTATTGTATTGAAAGAGTGCACTAACGGGGAATGAGGATGGTGGTAGAGAGACCTGTGAGGGAGGTTGTAGAAATCTAAGCCAGGAATTATTGTAGCTCAGATCAAAGTAGTAGCAGTAGAATGATGAGAAGTAAAATAGATCAGATTCTTAATATTTTCAAGGTGGAACTAACTGAATTTTATGATGGGTTGGATGTAGGGTTTGAAAGAAATGACTCCAAATATTTTGGCCTTATAAAACTAGAAGGGTGGCATTACTATCGACTATAATGAGAAGGCCCTGGATGGAGCTGGTTTGTTGTAGTATGTGGGGACTTCTGACTGGGCTCAGGAGTTTAAGTTTGGATTTGTTCAGTTTGAGATGTTTATGAGACAACTAACTTGAGATGATGAGAGGACAGTTGGACATTTGAATCGAGATTAAGAGAGAGGTCTGTAATATCACTTGTATCTATTAAAATCATAGGTTAGTACATATGAGGGGTCTTCAGAAGGTTAATGGAAAGATTTTCATTGTCTTTTAATTCAATTGTTCCATGAACTTTTTGAAGTACCCTTATATTAGTTCTACTTATTTAATCAGATTGTTAAAATAACAGTTCTCTCTCCATTTTTCTATATGTGGAGCCAATAAAACCAACACTTCACCTTAGGAATTAGAAAAGAAGAGCAAATTAAACCCCAAATAAGTAGGAAATAGGAAATTAGTGAAACAGGAAACAAATAATAGCAAAAATTTAAAAAGTGAAAAATTGGTTCTTTGAAAAGGCAAATAAAATTGATAAACACCTAGCAAGACTTATCAAGAAGAAAAAGTGAAAACATAACTTATCAACATCATAAATGAAAAGGGGAAATCACTACAGACCCTACATACATTAAAAGTATAATAAGGAGATATTATGAGCAATTTTATCAACAAATTCAGCAATGTGATAAAATGGACAAATTCCTAAAGACACAATTTACCAAAGCTGACACGAGAATAAATAGAAAATCTTAAGGAACGCCATAACTATTACAGAGTTTGAATTTGTAATCAGAAACTTTCCAACAAAGAAAACTCCAGAACTGGACTGCTATATCAGTTAAATTCTATCAATTCATGTATGGAAGAAAAAAAAAAAAAACACTAATTCTATATGGATTCTCAGAAATCAGAGGAAGACAGAACTTCCTAAATTCTTTTATGAAGCCAACCTAACTCTGATATAAAATTCCAATAAAGACATTACAATCAAAGGAAATTATAAACCAATACTCTTCATGAAAATAGATGCAAATTTCTTAAGAAAACTTTAGCTAATTGAATATAGCAATATGTGAAAAGGTTAATGCACCATGACCAAGTAGGAGTTTATTTTAGGAATATACAGTTGAGGGGGCTGGCCAGTTAGCTCACTTGGGAGAACTTTGTGCTGATAACACCAGCATCAAGTGTTTGGATCTAAAGGCTAGCTGCCCAGGGGGAGAAAAAAAAAAGGAATATACAGTTGCTTTAACATTCGAAAATCAGTCAGTGTAATTCACCATGTTAATAGAGTGAAGGAGAAAAACCAAACATCATCTCAATAAGTGAAGAAAAGCATCTAACAACATTTAAACCCATTCATGGTAAAATAAGAATTAAGCAAAATAGGAATAATAAGAAACAAAGTTTTGTATTACCTCATTTCCGGATTCTGTATAAAGCCATGGTAATCAAAGCAGTATAGTACTGGCTCAAGGATAGACAAATATATCAATAGAACAAAACAGAGTCAAGAAATAGACCTGGCGCACTCAGGAGAGTGCGGTGCTGGGAGCGCAGCAATGCTCCTGCCATGGGTTCGGATCCTATATGGGAATGGCCGGTGCGCTCACTGGCTGAGCGCGGTACGGGCGACACCACACCAAGGGTTGCGATCCCCTTACTGGTCACGAAAAAGAAAAAAAAAAAAAGAAAAAAAAAAAAAGAAAAAAAAAAAAAGAAAAAAAAAAAAAGAAAAAAAAAAAAAGAAAAAAAAAAAAAGAAAAAAAAAAAAAGAAAAAAAAAAAAAGAAAAAAAAAAAAAGAAAAAAAAAAAAAGAAAAAAAAAAAAAGAAAAAAAAAAAAAGAAAAAAATAGCCACCAATATTGGCAATCAATTGTTTTTTTTTTTTTTCCCCGTGTCCGGCAACGGATCGCAATCCTCAGTGTCACGTCCGTACCAGACCGGGACCGGCAACGGGATCGCAACCCTCGGTGCTGCGTCCGCACCTCGCCCAGCCAGTGAGCGGGAACCGGTCTGTATGTGGGATCCGAACCCTCGGCGGAAGCACTGCCGCGCTCTCAAGCGGCGCACTGTAGCAGTGCGCCACCAGGCCGGCCCCAGTCAATTGATTTTTGACCAGAGTTCCAAGTCCAATGAGGAAAAGAAAGTCTTTTTAACAAATGATGCTGAGTAACTGGATATCTCAACTTCTGTCTCACTCTTTGCACAAAAGTTAATTTAAGATGGATTACAGATCTAAATATAAAACCCAGAACAATAAAGCTTTGAGAAGAAAACAGATTATCTTTGCAACCTTGGGATAGGCAAAGATTTCTTGGACATGACACAAAAGGCACTAATCATAAAAGAAAAACTTGATAAAATGGACTTCAACAAAATTAAAATTTCTACTCATTAAAGGATTTCTGCTCATTAGAAAAATAGACAAGCCACAGACTAAACAATATTTGCAGTTGACATACCTGACAGAGAACTGATACCCAGAATATAAAAAACTTCCATATTTTTTTAACTCTTCCTGTTATTCCCATTCTTACTAACTATTGCTTAGATAGATACCTCTGGAATATTTGTCCAATTTCTGACTTTCAAAGGACCATTAATCAGGGCTTATAGATATTAGTTGATTAATATTTGAGGTTTTAAAGGTTGTAAACATAGACATGAAATATATCCTGAGGAATCAGTGGTATCAACTGCTCAAGCTTTCAGAAGTACCAAGTAACTTTGGTGAGATTCTACTCGTTTGTCTACTCTTATTCTTTTCTTTAACTTGCCTCTTTTGTAGCATCCTCATTTGAGATAAATTTAAATAATTCTCCCAAATTTTTATTTTTTACAAGTTTGTTAAATTGCAGTAGTGTTAGATCATTGTTCAGTTACATTGACTGTTTTAAACTAACTATCTGGCTAGCCTGAGAATCTAGTCAACACTTACAACATTATCTCCATTAAAAAACCAGCCTTTGAGTTTTAACAATATAATTATGCATGATTGTGAAATTTTAATCTAAGTTGTAATTTAGGAATGGCCTGTACATGGTTTCACTGTACTCAGGGCACTAGTCTATCCATATATGATGGATTTCCAAATGAGTAATTTTCTTTTTTTTTCAGTTGACACATTGTTCCTTAATATATATATATTTTAATAAATTTTCAAAATAAAATAATTCCGGGACTTGGTGCAGTATTTTGGGAAATGACAACACAGGTTGATTATCTCTTATTCAAAATTCTTGGGACCAGAAGTGTTCCAGATTTCAGATTTTGGGATATTTGCAGAATACATACTGGTTCAGTATCTTTAATCTGAAAATCTGAAATGTTTCAATGAGCATTTCCTTTGAGCATCATATCTGTGCTCAAAAAGTTTGGAATTTTGGAGAATTTCAGATTTTAGATTTTCCGATTAGGAATGCTTTAACCTATAGCAGTTAAACAGAAAAGTCAGCCTATTCTTTAATCTAAATGTGGTGTTCTTGCTACCATTTGGTGAATAGACCTATGCAACACACGTGCAGAAACATGCAGTGGCTAATAAATGGTCAAAGTTATAGAAGTTATTTTTTTCCAATGTGCTTAGCCAGTTAATTTGCTTCTATTTTTCTTTTACAGTTTCAGCTCCTAGCTTCAGCTCTATTCAAGTCTGGTTCAGATTTTACAGCTCTAGGTAAGTATTCCATTATAGTTTATCCAGCTGGATGCCCTAGCATTTGGAGGTTGGATTTTGGTTTCTTTTAAATGAAACATCAGGGGAGATGTTCATCCAAACAAATGGAGCAAGTTTCAGAGTAGCATGCAAAATTTCTAATAACCTGCTGCGGGGTACTTTCCAAGCACTATTCAACAGTTCATGGATCAGTTTGCATTTCCTATCACATGAATTGCTGTGGTATTATGCAAACAAATGGCAATAGAAATACAATCAAAATAAATTAATTTAGATAGCACTGCTTTGGAACACAGGCTGTATTACTGATGTACTTACTTTGAGATAACACCTGTTAGTTGAATGGTTTTTGCTTTCAGTTTGTTCTTTGAGGAATCGCATGGTATCAGGAGAATGGTGATGGGGTAGGCAATGAAATGTTTTGGGAGAAGAGAAAATGAATTATCTCTTTTTTAAAACTGAGAAATTTTGTTTGTTGGTGTCTTAATTGTTCAAGATAAGTCCCAGCTGAAACTGGTTTTTGTCAGACACCTCAGATATAAGCATCAGACTTCATTTAATATTACTGCTATTTAATATTAATGAATTACTAAAGTTGTTAAACTAGACTAGTAAAGTGGGGAGTCTGTACAAGTCCCTGAACTCAGAGCTTTCGTCAGGTAAATTTTCAAGGATATTTTCATTAAGATAACTCATTACTGGTAGCTTCAGGTTTTTTCCAAGATAGTAGTCTTTTGAAGTGTGGGGATTTCCAGCTTTCCTCTTGTCATTAGAAAATGTGATTACACAGTGAGTGTATATTAATCCCACTGGTGTAGGTACTATTATTTGCCTCAGAGTTGAACAATATTATTGAAATTTTATAGTATATATAATATAAATACCATTCTTCATATGCAGAATAAAGTTTAATTTCTTCATTGTTTGTCCTTTCACCTCTTAAAAGTGAGCTACACCTAGAAGAAAAAGACAATATGTATAATTCTGTTGCTTTTCACCGGGATGGGAAAAATAGCATTGTTCCTTGGGGTCTTGCCTCTTTTTCCATAGTAAGTAATTGAGGCTTCTCTATTAATCAAGGCAACTGCAGTCCTAAGTTCTAACTCCAGAATATGTAGGATTCCACAGAGCTATACTGAGCGGACTGCTGTAAAACATGACTCCAATAGGCTCACCTAAAAATTTAGATAGTGGTTCATCACTATTTCATACACTCGAGGGCTTTAAAAAAAAATGTCTACAGGCTATAGAAATCACAGTCCTGGGATAATGAAGAACCTGAGTATAAGCATCATTTTAAAGAGTTTGTGCCCTTCTGAATTCTGTCATTTGAAACAAAGATGTAGTAGTGTTACATGAATCGGGAGCCCAGCACATAGATATTCAGTTTGAATGAATGTGTGCCTTGTTATGTGTGGGTACCGCAGCTCAAGGTCATTATTTTAATTTTATTTGTGAACAGCACTAAATTTTCTCTAGCTGACTTACTTTTAGCCTTTAGAATAAGAATTTCTTGGCAGTAATTTAAATATGTTAGGGTGGTGGTATCAATAATATTTTACCTTCAGCTTAACTTCTTTCTTCTGTCTCTGCCCTATTCACTGCCAACTAATATATTTTGTCAGGAACAGTTTGTTTTACTTGGATTCTAAACAAACCTCAGATACACTGAGAACTATACAAACACAATAGAGAAAAATGCAAAAAGGGAAAATTCCTGTGGGGTTTTGTTCCCTACTTTGTTGGAAGAGAGCCAGTATAGTTTAATAGTTAGGAGGTTAGAGTTGTAGTATAGTGACCTGCTAATTTTAAAAGTGACCTTGGACAAGTTATTTTACCTTTCTAATCATCAGTTTCTTCATCTATAAAATGGAGGTAATGAGAGTTCTTACCTCAAATTGTTGAGAGAATTAAGTGCAATAATTATGGAAAACACTTAGCACAGTAAAACACTTAGTAGATGCTCCATTCAGGGTACTGTTATTATCCGCCTTAAAAATGTTCTTTGTAACATTGGTGGATTTGGATGGGGAGCAAATTCAGGTTGTATGCTGATTTTAATAATGAGAAATTTGATATATTATTAAAAAGTACTTTTCATAAAGATTTACGCCTATTTAGAGTTCTTGGTTCTAGCTCTCATTCATTTTCTGGCAGATTATTTTACCTTTATGCCAATTAGAATTGAAATAAAATTATTAAAGTTATTTACCATGCCTTTCATTGTGTAGGTAATCATTTTTTATTAAACTCTGCTCCCCCCAAAAATTAGCATCAGCCAAACTTTTGACTCTCTTCCTTTAGAATTAATCCAATTTATGTTAACCTTTTAGTGAGAATTAAAGTATTGATTAATGTTATGTAGAATATTTTAAAGAATCAGAAAGAAGAAGAGGGATTTACAAGCAGCTGACATTGTCTTAGTTTTGGAAAAATGACTTCTGAGAAAAATAATCTCCAAAGATCTTTATTTTAGAGCTTCTTGTGGCTGTAGGTACTGTTAAGACCGAACTTAGCCATTTTGCTAATTTTAAAGCTGTGCCTCATTTCTAGAAAATATGCATTGGAGCAATTGAGCTTATTTTCAGCAAAGTACATATCAAGTAGGAAAAATCTGGTCTATAGATCATGTTGCCCCTTTCATTCTTCACAACTCCCTTTAGAAGTTTACAGTATGAATATGATGTTTAAAACATTTTATGCCTAAAGTATAGTGCTTTTTGTCACTCTGTTGATATTAGTGAATTAGAAGCCTTAAGAATTTTATAGCATTTTATGTCCTTTAGGTTTTATATTTTTGCGATATCCACCAAACTTAGATTTCAGCAAGATACTTCCTTCAGCCTCCTATCTGTAGCGCATATGTTTACAGGGGATTTGTAAATAATAAGTTTACTATTAGGACTAGGAAGTGTAAATTAAAGAAAAACTTGTATGCCAGGAGAAAAATTAGAATTCTTGCTATTTCTCCTACCACAAATAGGAAAAGCCAGCTAGTCTATGTAGGAATTAAGTGAAAACTATATTCCTAATAGGTCACTTTCTTTTTAGAGTAGTCATTGTCTTTAGTCAGAGTAGTAGTGATACAGTGATAGCTAATTAATAATATTTACTGAGAACTTACTATGGGCCCAGGTACTATTCTAAGCACCTTGCATGTTATAACTCATTTAATGTCCACAGTAACCTTATGAAGTAGCTAGTATGTGATCCTCTATTGTGTGTGACAAAACTGGGGCACAGAGAGGCTAAAGTAACCTGCTCAGGAAGAGTGCAAGTGAGTGGCAAAAGCAGGATTCAAACTCTGTCAGTATGGCTTCAGAGCTCATTCTCTAAACCACCAACTATACTACCTCTCATTGAGCTTTACCAGTTTCCACTGCTCTGAGTGATTAGTTCCCCATTCCACTCTATGGCGAAAATAAAGTGAGAGAAACACAGTGGTTAGGAACATGAGGTTTGGAATCAATATAACTTTTTTGTCCTGTCTGCCACTTAAGTAGTTGTGTTACTGTCGATGAATATCCTAGACCCCCTGTCCTTTTTTAATATACTTTTAAAAATACGTTGACTGCAAATAAAGCTTAAGATTCTCTGTAAACAGCTTCCCCCAATCTCTGTTCCCTAACCTAAATGTGATCACCCATATCTGCCTTATCTTGTATATCTTTACACGCACACAAATATACAAAGAGATATACAGCTACAGTTGGTTCTTGTTATTCAAAGTAGTTCTATAAAGTCACAGAGAACACTAAATTAGTGAATTCAGAATTATTGTTTCTATGGGAAATACAGAGTTAGGTTCCTTGTGAGCCTCTGGTCGTGACATTTTTTCAAATAAACCCTGTCTTACATATGTTTCTATTTAAAGATTCCTTATTTAACATATATTGTTGATTCATTTACATTAAACTCATGGTCAACAGCACTATAACTCATACCTGAATGAAGCTTCTCTAACACACCTGTTTTCTCCATAAGGTACATCACAGCCTTCTTGTACTTTGGAACACTAGCACTTCAGCACTATAACTAGAGGCCATTTTAAGCAGTGAACTCACCAACAGAAAGCACAGAAATGTGAAAAATGTGGCACCAAACAGAATGTAAAAGAATAGTTGTGTATAGTTTGAGAGGGGAGACAGGGTGGTGGAACATCACATAGTTCCACCTCAGCTGGGAATGTGTGCATGTGGCAGCTCAAATATTTTGCCACTCTGCACATGTCCATGAATGGCCATAGAAGTGCCATAGGTATTGATTTGGGGCTTACAAATAAATTTTAGCAACTAGGCAAATTCACAAATATGAAATACATGAATAATCAAGATCAACTGTATATGGGCACACACATATGTAAATGTACAGTTTTTTTTACTATATAATATAAAAATATATTCTGCAACATAATTTCTAAAAATTTAATGATGTGACTTGGAGATGTTCCCATAAAACTTTACTAGGTCTGTTGTATTCTTATGAAGTAACACATATTATTCCAGAATAGGGATCCACCATAGCTTAACCATTCGTCTAACGATAGTGTAAGTTTCGATTTCCTTATTGGTAAATAGTATATAAAAATAAAAGATGTACCTTTGAGGATTGAATGAGTTTAGCATATTGCCCTACAACTTCAGCACTAAATAAATTTGAGTTAATAAAAATAAATAAATGGGCTTTGGAGTCAGACAAACATGGATTCATATTCCATTGCTTCCCTCACCAGCTTTGATACCTTATTAAATTACTGAATCTCCCTAATCTGTCTCATCTGAAAGTGGAATTAGTGATAACTACTTATTGTTTTTGTGGCAAGAAATGTAGTCATACATAAAATACCTAGCACATATTAGGAACTCAGTGTTTCCTTCGTAAACCATTTGATCTCATAAAAAGGTATAATTTCATTAGAATACTACTGCAGAATCAGTATCTTCTCTTAAAAATATGATGTGCCACTGCATTTTTACAAATTCAGAACATAAAATAGAGAATAAAGTAAAACAAAGAAGGGAAAAACGGTAAAGTTGAATACATACAGAAACAAACCTGTTTATCAAATTGCTAAATAACCACATAATAGGGAAAAAAGAGAACTAAACCTTTTTAGTATAGTGCTTAGACTGTTTACTCTCAGTGCGGTATATTCTAAAAACAATAAAAACAAATATTGAGTTTTTGTTGGTAGTGGTATGAGTATATTAATTCTAGAACTTGCTTTTTATGTATTTTAAGTTGAGCAAATGAGTAAATATTATGATGTTGTTGGGAGGCAGGGTTTTCTTGGTAGAAGAAAGGATTTACAGAATGAGGCATGAAGAGAAGGAATCCTGTGGGATTTTTAAAAAATTGTAATTAGCGATAAAAGCATGAACTCATGATTTTGGGGGGGAAAAAGTGTGTGTATAGTATATGTATATGTGTAGTTCTAGAAACAGTGACACCCTGGAAGTTACCACAACTGATCGTGGTTTCTAATATCATTTGCTACTAAAAGTAATTAAGGCTTCTTGGAGAAATGGCTGACTTGAAAACTTGAAGACTTGAAGACTAAATGCAATGTGTGATCTTAGATTGGATTTTAGATTAGTGGAAAAAATGACTATAAAAAAGATTGTGGGGAGATCAGTGTTGTTTCCTGAATTTAATCTTAATGGTTATTTAAAAGAATGTTCTTGTTCTTAGCTGGAATGAACTCAAGTATTAGGGGTGAAGATGTCCAGCATTTGCTCCCAAATAGTTTCACAAAAAGATTATGAGTGGAGTATACACACACACACACAAAATAAGAACATATTTGGCAAAATGTTAACAATTGACGAATCTAAGTGAAAGGTGTCTGAGTGTTCACTTTACTATTCCTGAAACTTTTCTGTGAGTTTGAAAGTTTTCAAAATAAAAAGTTGAAAATAAAGCAACTTGGAAAATTCAGAAAAGCATAAAATAGAAAAAAAAAATTATAACCTCAGCATTAAGAGATAATCTTTGTTAATATTCTGGAGTATTTTCTTCTATTCTTTTCTATGATATGACATTAGGCTGTGTTAAATCTTAAGGTCAGCTCAAAGGAGTAAACATTTTCCCTCAAACTTAAAATAACAATAATAAAACTTTTTAAAAATTAAAAAGGAATGTACTGTTCTTGAGGCATTGTTTATGTTCCTTCCAGGAAACTGGTATCCTTGGCAATGTTATGTTCTATTCTTGTTCTTTACAAAATTAAAAGAGATTGGACCTAAAACTGTATTCTGAGTTGAATGAAAATTAGTCCAATTTGAAGTAGTCTTCACTGAACATCACAGCATGTATAATTCTTTATGATGGCACTCAGTAAGTCTCTCATGTCTCAGTTAGGAGTATGGAAATCATTTATTTCATCATTTAAACACCTCATTTGTGGGTAAGAAGTCTGAAGCAGCTGTGAAGAGTGTACCAGCTGACTAAAAGAAGGAGGCATCTCACTCAACATTACTTTGGGCAGAGTGAACTTCAAAATCAAATGTTTATTAGGGGTTAAGGGGGAAAAATTCTTTAGCTTAACAGTCCTCACTTTTTAAGAATGCCACCTACTTTCTAGGGTTTATCTGGATAAAAGTAGTTTGTTGCTCTATTTCTCATATAATGTGTGCTTAGCATAGAACCTGGTGCATAGTACCATAAATATGTGGTATTTACTATGGGCCAGATACCATGCTACATATTGTACATGTATTTCTTTCCCTCAGTCATTTACATTTCACTCGGTTCTCTGAGACTACTTCCAGCTCTTAGGGCCTTTTGTTTTTAGAGCACTTAAGACCTGTTTCATTTTGATTTTATTATATTTTTATTATCAAAGAAATATTAGTGGGTTAGAAGCATTAAAAAGGCAGAAAAGGGGAGTGAGATTTCCTCTTTTCTGGACTAGCAGAGGAAAAACCTTCTAAGAAAGAGAAGATAAATCGATATTATTTAGTTACTAAAGTGCCAGGCGTTTTGTGAGGTACTTTTCATGTTATTGCATTGAGTCTGAGCAATAACCCTATGAAGTAAACAGGATTATCACAGATGTACAGCTGAGGAAACAGAAAGGCTGAAAGCCAGAAAGGCTGATTGATTTACTTAAAACCACACAACTGCCAAGTAGTAGATCAGTAGAATTTATCTGGTTTTGAAGCCTAATTTGATTTTGGTTTTTCCATTATACATTGCCGCTAGTCTCAACTAGCTTTTCTATTACATGTTGAGTTTTAAACACAATGGATGAATTTCTTTGTATTTCTTCTTCACCAGGCTTTTCGGATGTGGATCACACCTATGCTCAAAGAACTCAACTCTTTGACACCTTGGTAAATTTCTTTCCTGACAGCATGACTCCTCCTAAAGGCAACCTGGTAGACCTCATCACACTGTAACTGAAGAGTCACTGGACACACAAATGAAGAACAGGCATCTGCTTTCAGTGTTTTGGACTGCAGCTCTATTGACCGATAATTAAGCTACAGTGATTGAGGACTGTACCAGAGTTACCATCACAAATTTAATACTCTTCGTTCATACTTGACCTCAACCCCATAAATTTCATCCTATTCCTAAAGGCTAATAAAGTGAAATTGGTATACTTTCCATTTAAATATATATATATATTTTTTCTTACTTTAACTTTTAAGAATGAGTATAAAGGAAGAAATTAGGCAGATTACCCTTTTAAAATTTTTCTTTTTTTTTTTTTATCTGGGAGAAATAAGCACTATTAACAGACTCAGTGCTATAAGAATTTTGGATATGTTGTTGTTGGTTGTTTGGCCTTCTTTCTCCTCCCTTCCCATTTCACTTTACCTCACATCACACAACTGCTTGTAAGTGAGTCACTTGTTTACCTCTTTACTTCATAACAGGTATATATAGTTCTGTAGGACAACTGATGTATGTTAAAGTGATATATGTGTCTATGTTGACTTGTCTTATATTACATTAAACAGTAGGCAGAACAGAGGACTCAAATTTGCACTCCTTGCCATAGAACTAAAAAAATGAAACTCAAGGTTGACCAAGGCACCTATTTGAGATTGGAATAGACTATTTCTATAATGATATATTTTATAGTAGATCTTACAATAGCATCTGACTGAGTCACAGAAACCTTAAAATGAGGAGACTATACTTCAGAACATTCAAGAGCCATTCTAAAAGATGACCAGCAGGAGGGATCTAGTAGGATTAATATGTTTATTAATATCTTTATAGCAATTTTGGAAAAATTACTCTTTGCTCAAACAGAGCTATACAGAACCAGATCTTTAATTTCTCCTTTGTGCTATCTCTTAGTAGCATTTTCATCTGGGTGGGTGAGTTTCCACAGGTAGACTTTCATTATTTCCATACACATCAGCTTCCTGCATCTGCTTCTATACATTGATATTTTGAAGAGTAATGGTTTGTGGTTGTCCACTGAAAGGCATTTCCTTAAGCACATGGACCAGGCTTTTTTTTAAATGGAGAAAAGGAAAAATAATGGTGTGAATATTTTTTCATTAAACAGAAAAAAAGTTATTGCAGATGGGCTTTTCCACAGATCCTTATTTTTGTGTGTGATGGATAGGGGATATCTTCCCATGAGGTGCTGTGGAATGCAGTATGCAAAACCTACATCTAGCAGGCACTCACACTTGATCAAAAAGTGTGTTGTATGCAACTGATAATGTACCATGCTGAAAGCAGACTCAATATAATAAATGTCCATCAGTCCAGTGGCTCCTAAAAGTGAGTGAATTTATGGGATTGAGTATGCCCCTGGGTAGTAAGATTAAACATTACCAAAGAAAAAGAAGCTGATCTGCACTTTCAGAAAGTGTCATATATAGGAATGAGACTTTGAGATCCCTCTTTGCTCTGCCCTTACTACATTATTTTACTTCTTTTGGAGATGGACAGAATATATTTTTGTCATTTTTAGGCTTGAATCATGAGCCCCTTGGCTTTCCAGGCATCCCAAAACAATCAGTAATGATGTATTAAATAGTTAGATCTGTACATTATCTTGTGAAAGGTATACTATATAATTCAGCAAGTACCAAATTGTGTAGCTGCAGAATAATCAGTTGTTGTACAGTTGAGTAAATATAGTCTACTTATAACTTGTACAGTTTCATAAAGTGATTCCCCTGGGTGACAGTTAAGAACATAAGATATTAATATCACTAATATTGTAATCTATTAAATCTTGTTTTGTGGAGAAAGGTGTAAATTAGAATGTCAACAGAGAAGAATTTAAACTTGATAAGACTGCCTAAATTTAAAAGCTCTAGTTTTGCTTCCTGTGAATTCTGGCACTTTAAAAATTAACCAAATGAAATTCTGCCATTTATCTTTATTGTGTTTTTGTAGTTTTTTTCATTGGTCAGTTCTTTGACTTCATATTACTTGGAGGAAACTCAGTTCTTGAACTCATTGATTTTGTTTGTTTTTGTTTCTTCCTAATTGCTTCTTTGCTAATATTATTTTAAATGAATGTTTGTTTTAATTTCACCTTCATTTTATTTAGGTGGAATTTTTCCCCATCATTTCTGGAATTTTTTTTTTTTTAAACAACCATTCTTAAATGGGGTTAAATCATAGTGAAACATTTAGTGTTGCCTAAGTGTGATAGACTTCCTGAGGAGGCCATTGACTAGATAAGTCAGAATCTGTACTGTGGGGTTTAATGAAGCACTGCCAAGAATGATTGCAGAGAATGTAGGACTTCATATACCCATGACCAAGATTGACACATTCATGACATTTCACATCAGAACCATGATTTGAAACTTGTTTATGTATTTAGTGAGAAACTACATGTATTTCTAATAATTCCAGCAGTGTAATATGATTTAAATAATTAATTTGATATTTAGATACATTATTTAGGTAGCCAAGTACATGTGCTTTACTACTTAAAAATTCTTTCATTCTAGTTTAATGAGTCTTAAGTTGAAACATCTCGCTGATGCTTTAGACACATTAATTAATGGGATATAGTTTGTTCAATTTTATCATCCCTAACTTCAACCTCATTCCCATTTCTCTTTTTCCCAATGGAATATATTATTTTCAGCCAGAAATAGACCAGATCTCTAATATTATTTTCAGTGCTTGTGCTTCATGATCTGATTTGAAAGACACTTCTCAGATGCATTTGCATTTTATTTTGCGGAATGACAGAGATCTCACGTGGCCAGCCTGATTAATTCAGAGTGTATCACTTTCCTGTTCAAGCAAAGGAGTTCAGACTTGGATGCTTACCTCTGTGCTAAAGCTGACGGTATTAACCCTTATTAAGGTCATCTTTGTAGACCTGTTTTCCATTTATACTAAAACTGACCTGTCCATGTCTAATAAGTAAAAACTGATAGAAAACATTAAAAAGTTAAGTCACTGGCTTATCATAGAAAGGCTTGTTGGGTTTAGAGTGCAGTGATTTGTTTAAGCTTATAAAACTGTGGTCTTGGGTAAAATATGTTTATTGCATATAAATGGTTGGCAGCTTATCATTCCAATGAATCTCTTCACATCTGCCTTAAAAGTGGTTCGTGGAGATACATTAACAGGATTTCATTTAATAAAACAGGGTTTTAAAATCTAATCTACAAACAAAAACTAGCTTGAGGTACTTAATCAGTGAGAGATTGAGAGTACTGTTTAATGGATCAAAAAGCACTTAGGAGTACGTTTGATTTTATTCTCTGAATTATACTCAGTTTCATGGTAATTACATGAAGAAGTTACCCTATAATTATTCTTAACACTACATGGAATTCATTGGGTAATTGTGGGTTATTTGATTATTTCCTGAGTGAAAGTTATGTGAAGTCCTTAGCTGGTTGAATATTGCACAACAGTTGAGAATTATGGTTTGAGATTTCAGTGGGAGGGGATCATTATAATGTGTACTCTAACAAAGTCATCTACCTATTAAAAAAATACCCTTCCTAACCCTTATTTTCTTAAAAGTCAACATTCATCCAGTCTCATCCCTTTGCAGAAAGTCTTGCCTGAATTTTCACAAAGTTTTAAAATCCTAAAATAGTCTTTGATCTGGGATGTGCAGGCTCCCCCAGAAAAAGTTTATACTTGTTAGAGGGTCTTCAGGTGACAGTACTATAGGTTAAATCTTTGGGCTCTTTAACTCAAAGTTTTTTGTTGTCCTCATTAGTCAAATAACATTATTCTTTCGTGATTTTTGACTGTGGTTTATATCTCCCTGTGATTTGTTTTAATGCTGAAATGACTTGGCTATCCAAAACTTTTAGTCTGGAGATATGTCCACCGAAAGTAAGCATTTCCAAATTTGTTGAAGTAATATGGAGCTGACTATCTCAGCTGAATGATGTTGCCATTGTTTGTTTGGGGTGGGGAGGGAAGATTCATTATTGTAGTATATTGATTTCTTCACCAAGTGCTCTTTTGATTTTTCTCAATAAGTGCTTAGAGATTTTATTTATACATAATTTCTTCCTACCGAGAAAATACTGTGAATTGTGTTTCCATTAGTCTTAGCTAATTTAACTTTACTTTTGACTTTTTTTTTAAGCCCTAGACTTCCTAGGTTTTCTGTGGCATTGCTTAGGAGCATTGTACTGCTTGAAAAAAAAAAAAAAGAAAGAAAGACCAAAGTCATTCTGAACATGCTTTATTATCTTTGTTTGTGACAAGAGAATGGTGAAATTAAAAATTGTATATTATTAATTAATGTTCAGATAATGCTGTGAAAATACTTGAGTCATTTTCCTTTGGAGATAGTAATAGTGGCTGTGGCAGCTTTAATGGAGGTGCCTGTATTGGCTTCTTTTCCTGGCACAAGGAAATATTGTCTAGAACTATTGGTAAAGTACAGACTTCATAAGAGAGCTCATGAAATTCAGCATACCACCAGAATTTGTATTTGCCTGTTGTCTTTTATTTTTATTGTATTTTTTAGCCTTTTCTTTTTTTAATGTTCCTGACTTCTATGAGTAGCATTGATTTTTCTGCTGAAGTTGGAATTTGTGTTAAGAATTGACTTTCAATTTCTAATATAGTTGAATATTAGGAATAGCTTTGATTGCCATGAAATGATTGGTGTTCATTTTCTTCTTAAATAAAAATAAATATAGCCATATAAATGTCTCTTCCCCTCAAGAATTTGAATTTAGTTCCAGTTTCTAATGACTAAATCTTTTTCCCAAGTCACAACCAGGAAATAAAATCATCTGATCGTAGCTTCTGTAGCCCTTAACCTAAGGAGTCATTAGAGGTTATGGTAAATTCGAGGATCTAGTCGTGTAGAAAGAAATGCCCTCGTCGGAATCCCTATCACTGTCTGCCTTTTTCTGTCAAGTAGAACTCTGAAGTTATAGATCTTGAACTAGATCTCCGTTTACAACTTACAACACAAAAATCAAAGGTTGGTTCTAGTTTTTTTTGCTAATATTATTTGCTAATATGCTATCATGTCCCCCCAAACTGCCAAGCTTTCTTGAAAACAGAATTTTATGTGGATGTTACTTAAGAAGTATAAAGTTAACAATTTTAAAAAGGAAGTGTTTGGTAGGGAAGTAAACCAGTGTTAAGATATCACTTATATTTATGAAATAATATGTTTTCATTTTTATCTGCTCTTC